TCGGCAAAACGCATGATAAGCAGTCGAGCACAGAAAACGAGCAACAATAGACCAGGAAACAAATAAACGATAATAAACAAATAAAAAAGAACAGAGAAGTGAGGAGGAAAATAAAAGGACTGGGGAAACAAAGCAAAAAGGGACAGCTAGCTGCACCTTGAAAATCCGTGTAATGACCCTTCTTGAGCACTGTTGCGGCGCCAAAATCAATCAGAGATGTTTCGCCAGTCACCAAGTCAATAACGATATTTTCGTCCTGCAAATTTTTTTTTTTTTAAATCGCGCCACATATTCTCTGGAAAAAAATTTAAAGCAAAAAAGCAAGAGGGAGGGGGAGGTAAATAATCATAGTTACGTAAGTAATCATAGCTCATTAAATATTTTTTGGAAGAATTATCACGAATTCGAAAACGTAGTTTTCCCATAATTTTATTGCATACTGGCGCTTCTGCTAGTGAATCTGTTTAATGACTGGTGTGTATAGGATGTGGTTTTATGGATTTTTTGAAAAATTGCTTTGTGTGAAATGGATGCGTCTCATTCCATACATTTCAGCTCATCAAATACGCAATTTGTTTATATTGTTCTTTTTTTGAAAAAGCTATCTTATAATTATAAAAAACTAACACGAAAATAAATCTCTTCCTATTTTTAACTCTGTTTTACGGCCGAGCGCATTTAGAAGTCGTTCGAATCATAGCACACTGCTAAGAGTAGCCCCTCCTCCTGCCTCTCCCTCCGCTCCCCTCCCCCTCCCCCCTACGCCCCCGACAAGTTATCTTTTATGAAATAATCGTATTATGGGAACGGAAATCTTTAAGCACTACGTAAAAGCGAAAATGAGGTGGTTTTAACTCGCTAGCATGCACTAATCCAATTTATCACCAAAACAAGTTCTGGAGGGATTGCTTTCTTTAGCAGCAAAATTAAATCACTGGCCTAAGCCTGAAAGTAACGCTATTTATTACTGGGAGCCAAACCTACTAGTTTCTTAAAATTATATATAAAATAAGCCTATTTATAGTGACCGGAAAATGACCCAAACCTGGCTAAGTCGTTTCAATTATTACACCAAGCTTATTTCATAAATAATTTTAAGTTGCAAAAAAAGAGAAAAGGAATGGAAAGACGAAAAATTATTTCAAAACAGGTTATAATTTAGCCAGTAGAAGGCGCAATTTATTCCATGATATCCATAATTTTGAGCATTTCCTCTAATTTTCTCTTGGATCCTATCATTACGAATTCGAAAACGCAGTTTTGCGTAATTTTTTTGCACAACTTCGTACCCATTAATCAAATTTGCCTGCTTATCAGCGAATACTTGACAATCGAACTGTCATATGGAATCATGTGGAAAAGAGAGGCCCAAGAGGAGAAGGGAGAAATTGTCAGCTGCAGAAAGGGCGTGGAGAACCGCGATGATGAAACAACAACTGGTGAAAAAGTATGAGAATTAGTGAATTTTGAAAATCCCTTAAAGCACTTCATATGTACCTTGAGGTCCCGATGCAACACTTTCTGTTGGGCGCATTTGCGAATTGTGAATGCTATCTGTCGAAATAGAAATCTTGCGAGCTGAAAATCAAAGTTTTTTTGATAATATAAAAACATCGAAAAGACTGTCTCATGCTTTTTTCGTTAACACTCTCATTTC